GGCAGCAGCTCTTTCCCAGGGTTATTTTTCCCAAGGATTAAGGATTCCAAACTTGCTTTGCTTATTTTTCCTGCAGAAATAAGGGATGTTTTTTTCCCTGTGCTCCTCAACTCTGTGGCAGCTCCTGCTTCCCTCTGGATTCATGGCTCGGGTGGTGCCACGTCCAGAGGGATAAAACCTGGAGCTTGGAAAAGGGGGAAAGCTGGGAATCCCCTGCTCCCAAGCTGGTGGAAAGCAGTTGGGTGACGTGGGAGCTGTTCTGAGCACCAGGAAAAGAATTCCAGGAGGAAAACCAACCATCCCTGGGTCCCTGTCCCAAATAAATCCCAGTTAATGTGTTTATGGAGACAAGGGGCTTGTTGGAAAAGTGGCTGGAAAAGTTCTTGTGGTGGGTCAGGGAGGGGAAAAAGGGATTTTTTCTATTTTTTATGGCTGGAAAAGGGTCAGTTGGGATTTGACTCCGTCTTTTGGTGGGGTTTGGATCGGGAGGGGGTTGGGATTGCTGAGCACTGGGAATCTAGGGGGTCAGACCATCAGCTCGGGCACCTGCCGGGGGTTTAGAGCCCATTTTCCAGTGGGAAATGGGAATCTGGGATGTGATCCCAGACCTCAGCGCCCTCCTGGTCAGCTCCAGACACACAGATACGTGTTTCTATTATAATTCTTCCAGTAATTGTCATTATTGATATATTTTGATCTCTCTCAGTGGCCCTGGAGCTCCGTGAAAACCCAAACCTGGAGCAATTGCAGCTCTGCATTCGTATTTATTACCATTCCTATAATTATTATCATCATTACTATAATTACCATTATTATAAAGATAATTTGGTATTATTTTATATATTTTTATATCTCTCTGTGGCCCTGGAGCTCCATGAAAACCCAAACCTGGAGCAATTCCAGCTCTGCATTTATATTATTATCACTATTATAATTATTATCATCATTATCATGAAATTTTAGGATTATTTGAGATGTTTTCCTGTCTCTCTGTGGCCCTGGAGCTGTTTGTCCCACCTGGAGCAGTTCCTCCCCATCCTGTGCTGCAGCTCCAAGGGATTTTGGTCCAGGGGGAATAAACAAATCCTAAATAAATAGGTCTTAAATCATCCTAAATAAAGAGATTAAATCAACAGCTCCTTTGTTTTGGGATCGCCCTGGCTTTGGGCCTCCCCTTATCCAGCATTTCCCCGGGAAAATGAGGGAGAAACCATCTCTTGGGGGGGTCATGACTCTTTGGAGCAGGGAGACGGCATCCATTGGACATCCTGCTTCCAGCGGGACCAAATTCCCCGGATTTGGTCCCATTTTCCCCTTTCCAACCTCTCAGATGACATTTTGCTCTGCTCCATCATCCCTTGGGAATGGGGGTCCCTGCTCTGACCTTCCTCCTCCTCCTGGTGACCTTCCAGGGCGTCTCTGGTTTCGGGAGCGGATGAGCCATCGATCCCAAGGAGGCTCCTTGGCGCTTCCCGCCCCCGAGACCTTCAATCCTGCAGGATTTGCCATCCATGGGATAAACGTTCCACACAAACCCAGCCCTGGGAGCAGCTCCTGCTTCCTTGTGAGATTTTGCAGTGGCTGGAACTGGATCCCTCACACCTGGAGTCTCCCAGGGATGGATCTGGGGGGCTGAGCTTCCTTTTCAACCCGTTTTTCCTTCTCTCCCGCAGGAGAAACTCAGGGAAGGGCCCGGGCGGAGCATCCGGAGCCCCCTCGCCATGGCCTCGTCTGAGCTGCCCCCCCAGCCTGCAGTAGGTACTGTCACCCCTCTGGAGCTGGGAGCTTTGGGAAGGGGACCCCTATCCTGGGGCAGAAAGGGGGGGGTGTCCTGCATATCCCAGCTGGAGCCTCTTGGAATTCTGAGAACGCTCAGGGCTGTCGGATCTTGCAGTTCTGGGGGGGTGATGCTCTTTCTTCCACCCCTCCTCCATCCCTTTTCCATTCCTGCTTTTTTTGGGAGGAGGGCCCCTATGCTTGGGCAGAAAGGGGGGGGGTTCATCCTGCATATCCCAACTGGAGCCTCTTGGAATGGTCAAAACACTCAGGGCTGTTGGATTTGCAGTTTTGGGGGGGTGATGACTCCCTTCTCCACCCCCCCCTTCTCCATCCCCGTCTTCCCTCCTCCATCCACCCCTTGCTGGGGTATCCTGCATGAATCCCACCTTTTCCATTACCTCCCTCTTCATCTCCCCCTTCCTGGGGAACCCTGAGTGACACTGGATCCCCCCATTCTCCATCCATCCCCCCTCTCCTCCATCCGCCCCCTTCTCCATTCCCTCCTTGCTGGGGGACCCGGAGTGACATTATCTCCTCCTCCATCCTTTCCCCCCCTCCATCCCTCCATCCCTCCATCCATCCCCCCTCTCTCCTCCATCCCCTCTCTCCTCCATTCCCTTCGCTCCTCCTTCCCCCCCTTCTCCATCCCCTCCTTTCTGGGGGACCCGGAGTGACATTGTCTCCCCCCTTTCCCCTCCATCCCCCCTTTCCCCTCCATCCCCCCTTTCCCCTCCATCCCCCCTTTCCCCTCCATCCCCCTTTCCCCCCTTTCCCTCCATCCCGGTGCCGTGTCCCCCCCCCCAGGAGCCGCGGTGCCCCCGGAGCCGGCGGGCGCGGTGCCCGCGGGGGGGGAGGACGTGGGTGAAGCCTTTGCCTTCGAGGACAGCGAGGAGGAGGAGGAGGAGGAGGAAGAGGAGGATCCCGCGGCCCATCCCGGCGGGGCCGTTGTTCTCCGGGCCCCCCCGCGCCGGCGGCGTGGGACCAGCTCCGAGGGGGGTGAGAGCGCAATTCCCGACATTCCCGCCGTGTCCCCGATGTCCCCACGTTGTCCCTGATGTCCCCAGAGGGTCCCCTGGGGGTGCCAACACAGCCTCTCTTTGCTTTTCCTCTCCACAGAGGGGCTGGTGCCGGAGACCCCGGAAGGGTAAGTGGGGGTTTGGTGGGGTTTGGTGGGGGATCGGGGGGATTTGGGAGGGTTTTGGTGCAGTTTTGAGTCCCCTGAAGGATCTTTGGGGTCTGTCCCCTCTGTTTGATGTCTCAGCCTGGCGCTGTGCCTCAGTTTCCCTGACTTTTCCCCATTGCAAGGGCAGGTATCCCTGGGAATTTGGGGTGCACCCCCCAGATCTGGGGATCTGTGAGGGCTTCGGTGAGGTTTTGGGGGGAATTTGGGGGGTTTTGATGTGGTTTTGAGTCCCCTGAAGGATCTTTGGGGTTTGTCCCCTCTGTTTGATGTCCCAGTGTCTCCGTGTAACAAAACAAAACGTTTGCTGAGGGAGGGCAGGATAGAAAAAAACAAACTCCTCCTTCTGAGTTATAACTTCAAAATCAGGAGGCTTCAGGCGAAAAGGTGCGGAAAAGAAAGTAACAGCTCTTTACTAACAAATATATATAAATATATATATATAAATATATATAACAAAACAGAACGAGCTACAACACCGTAACCGAATCTTTCACCGGCACAATTGCGTGTTTTCTGAATTTCTGCCTCGGCGCAGTTACAGCCGCGGACAGCAGGGGGCTGTTCCCGGGGGCTGCGGCGGCACAAAGGGATTTCCCTGGCAAACAGGGCTCCCAGGGATGCCGAAAACGGCAGGGAATTCTCCAAACAGCATCGGTGTAGATCAGCCAGAGAGCAGCTCTTTAGTGAAGGCCTCGAGGTGCACAAGAGTGTCCCGGGGTTTTACCCGGATTTTCCCATTTTCTAGTTCTGATCCACCCAATCCGAGAACTGTCCACCCCCGGATCTCCCCCACCCCCGGATCTCCCCCACCCCCGGCACGGCCTCCCGGGAGTTTAGTCGGAGGTCTCAAGACCCCCTTCTTCCTCATCTTCCTCCTCCTCCCAGCCTTATCTGTGGAGCTCTCCCGAGGTTCCTGGGCCTGCCAGCTTGTTTTGGCTGCAGGGATATCTGATTTTTCCGGTCCAGGGCCACCTGTCCCAAACAAGAAGTGCTTGCTCGAGTCCCTTCCCTCGAGAGGAACGTTAAACAGAACCTGCAGAGTTCAGAAAGTTCGATATGAAGCGTGGGAACGGGATTTGGTGGCTGCCAGCTGCTGTTCTGAGGCGGGAGGGAACTTTAGGGGCACACTAAAAACCCGGATTTAACACAAATCTTACAAATTCCAAGGCATCTCCCACGGGGTGCCGAGGGAGCTCCCTCCTGGCAAACAGGGCTCCCACAGGGCACAGAGGGAGCTGCCCCCATCAAACAGGGCTCCCCTCACGGCACAAAGGGAGCTCCCCCTGCTCTGGGGGCAACCAGGGCTCTGAACATGGCACAGAGGGAGCTCCTTCCAGGCAAACAGGGCTCCCACAGGGCACAGAGGGAGCTGCCCCCTGCTCTGGGAGCAAACAGGGTTCCCACCCTTTCCAAAGGGAATTCCCCCTGGCTGTGGGAGCAATCCTGGATCAGCTCTGGGCCCCTGGGCTGGGGAAGGGGTTCCTGATGGGCAGTAGGAGCAGCAGGAGCAGGCAAGGGGCAAAGAACCAGTGGGAAAGGGGTGGGTGGGCAGAGGGGGGGGCATGGGCAGGCCATGTCCCAGAGCTCTTCTGTGTCCCAGGGCTGTCCCCTGTCCCAGAGCTGTGCCCTGTCCCAGGGCTGTCCCCTGTCCCAGAGCTCTCCCACCCAGCCCCTGCCCGGCTGGCAGGGTCAGGCAGGTTTAACCCCCCATGCTCCTGTTCTTTTCCAGAGATATCCCCCTTCACCCCGGCCTGGTGCCCTGTTTTGGCCACATGAGCTGTTCTGTGCCCAGTTCAGATCCTTGCCCGGGCTGTCCCTCCCTCAGGCCTCAGCAGGAGGAACGGAGGGAGCCCCATCTTGGCAGGAGAAATGGAGGGAACCCCACCTAGGCAGGAGAAGCAGAGGGAGCCCCACCTTTACAGGAAAAACAGAGGGAGCCCCACCTTAGCAGGAGAAGAAGAGGGAGCCCCATCTTTGCAGAGAGAACCACGAGCTGTTTTTCCCCAGGACAGTCGTTCAGGCCCGAGCTAGACAAGCAGGGAAGCCTGATGTTTGTCCTGTCCCAGCAAGGGGTGTTTGTCTTGTCCCAGCAGAGGCTGTTGGGGTGGAATATTCACCAGGAAGTGTGAGACCACAGCACTTGGCCTGGGGCTGAGCCTCAGCTGCCCTGACCTCTCCCCCTTCCCTGCCAGAGGGGCTGCAGGCAGGGGAGCCCTGGGGTTTTGGGGTGCACCTGCAGCCTTGGGGATCTGTGGGAGCTTTAGTGGGATTTTGGGGAGATTTGGTGGGATTTTGGGGTGCTTTGGTGGGGTTTTGAGTCCCTTGAAGGATCTTTGGGGTCTGTCCCCCCTCTTTGATGTCTCAGCCTGGTGCTGAGCCTCAGCTTCCCCAGCTTCTCATCGTTCCAAGGCTCTGCAAGCAGGGGAGCGCCGGTGTTCTGGAATTTGAGGGTGCATCCTGTAACCCTGGGGATCTGTGGGGGCATTGGTGGGGTTTGTGGCGGGTTCTGGTGGGGTTTTCAGTCCCTTGAAGGATCTTTAGGGTCTGTCCCCCCTGTTTGCTGGCCCAGCCTGGTACTGAGCCTCAGTTTCCCCAACTTCTCCCCATTGCAAGGGGAAGGATCTCTGGGATTTTGGGATGCACCCCCCAGCCCTGGGGCTCTGTGAGGGCTTTGGTTTCTCCCCCATCACCTCCAGCTGGAGGAGATGGGGGAGAAACCCCTTGGGATGGTGTTTGAAGGGGCTGGTTTCCTCCTCAGCTGTGGATCTGGGGAGAAAAGCTGGAAATTTGGCTGCAGGGAGGGCTTTTCCCCCTGGCAGAGCAGGAACAGGGTGTGGGGAGAGGGCCAGGATCCCACCAGGAATGGGGGGGACCCTCTCCCTGTGCTCCCCAATGCTGGCACATCCCCTGCCCTGCAGCAGCACACGGACTGAGGCTAAAAAAGCCAATTTTGGGTGTTTTGGATTATCTCTGAATGGTTGTCGGGACCCTCTGGTGTGACCCTGAGACCTGGGACCCCCAAATCCATGAAGAAGCAGATGGGGGAGTGACACAAGCTTTATTTTAGGCCTGTGAACCCCTGGAAAGGGAGTGGGGGTGGGGAGGGGCTTGGCTGCACCCAATTCCAGGGGATGGATTTACACCCGATCCTGGGGGATTTGCACCCAATCCCAAGGGATGGATTTGTACCCGATCCTGGGGGATTTGCACCCAATCCCAAGGGATGGATTTGCAGGCTGGGATGCTCCCTGACCCCCTTCCCCACAGGGCCCCGGTGAGGATGAGCAATGGGGAGGCCGGGGGAGACCCCCCCGTCCGCACCCAGACCTGGAAGCGGGAGAGCATCTGCCGAGGTGGGTCCAAACGCTGGGACAAACCCCCTGGCGAGGCCTGGGAAGGGTTTCTCCAGCCTGGGTGCTGAGCAGGTCCCGGGGGGGTTTGTCCCCCAAAGGTGAGCGGTTTTCCTTCCCGGAGGTGGAGGACGACGTGATCTACGACGACGTTCCCTGCGAAAGCCTGGATGCCGAGCAGGATGGTAGGGACAGACCTTCCCCCTCCCTTTCCCAAGGACTAGGAGGCCGTTTTCCAGCTCTGGATAAACTCAGGGAAGGAGAAGGCCATCCTCGAAGAGGATGTGGAGCGGGATGACTGTGGGAAAACCAGTGGGATTGGGAGGGAGATGTGAGGGTTTGGGGTCCCTGAGGAAGGGAATTTGCCCTCCTGTAAGGAAAAGGAGCCGGATTTTCTTCGGCAGGAGCAGGGAGGGAGCGGAGCCTGATCTATGAGGAGGTGCAGCGAGGAGAGGGCTCCCGGATCAGCGAGGATTTGGGCTGGAGCTCCAGTGAGTTTGAGAGTTACAGCGAGGACTCGGGGGAGGAGACCAAAGCCGAGCCCACCAAGCACCGAGCGTCCTTCCAGCCCAAGGTAACCCTCGCATTGCACCTTTAAGACCATTGTTCTTGTTTTTCCCTGGGTTTGCTTGTCCAAAGGCAGTGGAGCACCAAGCCCAGCTGCTCCCGTGGCTGGTGAAGCCGAGGATGCTGCGCTCGGCCCCCAACTCCGGGGGGTTCATTTCTTTCTGTTCTCCTTCCTTCCCTTTTTCAGTTTTTCCCCTTTTCCTTCTGCATTTGGGCCCTGCTGGAGCCTGGCTGCTGCTTTTCCGTGCACTTGCTCCCTTCCCTGCTCCAGCCAAGCCAGGCTTTTGGGATGGTGCTGCCTGGGCCATGCTGCTCTGGGGGGATTTCTGCTCTTTGTTTGGTTTTTGCTGCTCACCTGGATCTCTTCTCTGCCTCCTCCTCCTCCTCCTCCTCCTGCCTGGTTTGCTTGAGCTCAGCTTTCTCCAGACCTGAATAGACTAAAGGAGAGATACGCCAGGACTAAGAGGGACATCCTGGCTTTAAGAGTTGGGGGGAAGGACATGCAGGAGCTGAAGCAGAAGTACGATTGGAAGGTACTGTCCCTCCTCCATCCCTTGTCCCTTCTCCCCCAAATTTCCCAGGGGGAGGAAAAAAACCTCATGGAATTTATCCAGGCTGAATTCATCCCATTTCATCCCCCCAAAAAGAGAGACAAATTCAGTGAAGCACCTCAAAGCTGCCTCTCATGTCCATCTGTCTTGCAGCTCCCCGTCCTCCAGCTTCCCCAACCGTTGGATTTTGGGGTGTTTCCTTGTTTTTAAGGGGCGTTCGGACGGCGCCGGGTTTCCCACGGGATAGATGGATCTGACAAGGTTTTTTTTCCCCTGATCTGTGGTGGAAATCGGGTGGGGAAGGAGATTTTTGGGAGAACCTTAGTGCAAAGCCTTTCCCAGCCCCAAGCCATCCAGGTATTCCCTGGCTGGAAGTTTGGGCTGAATTGCTGTGATTCGAGGTGGGAAAGGCCGACACTTCCCCCCCTTTGCTGTCCCCCACATGAAATCCCTGCACAAGGAGGGGATGGATGTGCTCCTGCCTCCCTTCCCTCCCTCTGCTTCGCTTGGCTGCATGATCCCATGATCCCGCTTTGCCGGCGCCTGCTTGCACGCGGCCACATCCCTATGGATGGGGCACAGGACGGAGCATCCCTGGTCCTTGGATATGTGCCTCCTCTTCCTGCTGCATGGGAAAACAGGGATGATGCCTGAGGGGATGGTGCCTCTGCATCCGGATCTGGAGTGGAGGATGGTGCCCAAGGGAAGGACACGGCTCCGTCTGGATCCGAGATGGGATCCCGGTGCTGCCTGAGCCTCCCGATCCCTCTCCTCCCCCTCCCCAGATGACCCAGCTGATGAAAGCGGCCAAAAGCGGCACCAAGGACGGTTTGGAGAAGACCAAGATCGCGGTGATGAGGAAGGTGACGTTCCTGCACCGGAAAGAAACCCCAGGTGAGCGGGAAAAGCAACCCCCCCCTTCCCTTTCTGGTGTTTAAAAAAGCCTTTTTTGAGGATATTTTTAAAAATAATCACCAGGAACTCCCATCCCTTTCAGCATTTCCTTTATTTCCCATTTATTTTCTGCATTTTAAGCTTTTCTTTGACTGTTTTCCACTCTTTGCATCCCTGTGCAAACTCGGTCCCTTCTGCTCCTCCTGGCTCCGTATCCCTTTGGGAGCACCCATGGGTGTCCTTGGACACAGAGCAGGATCTTCCCGGGAACACTGAGTTTGGGGGGGGTTTCCTGACTTTCCTGCTGTCACGTAGGGGATGGGGAGCGGAGGAGGCGGGCGGAGGAGGCGGGAAAGCCGCCGCCTTCCCGCCGGAGTTCGCGGGTGTCCCTGGAGCAGCGCGGGGGAGGTACGATCCCGAGGGGCGGCTCCCGCCGGAGCTTCCCGGGGGATCCCGCGTGTGTGTCCCGGCCTGGCTGCGTGTCCCCAACGTGCCTTTGCCTCGCTGGGGTGGGGCTTCGATGCTTCTGGGAGGAGCTGGAGGGATTCCCGTCCCCTGGGAGCATCCCTGGCACGTGGGGATGGGGAGAAGGTGGAGCTGGCTGAGCCGAGGGCGGTGATTTGTCCCGGCCAAAATTAGGGAAGGAAAAAGGTCACCCGGCTGCCAACGCCCTCCCCTCCAGCCCGGCCGGTCCTCCCCCTTCCCGGCTATTTATATCTGCCGGGATGGGCCCGGGGCGGCGGAGGGGCCATGTGGAAGCGGCGGCCGTGCTTCCCTCGGGATGCCTCCTTGGCTCGCTCGCCCTCCTCCTCCTCTGCTGCTTCAGCCTCGGGTGAGGGATCCCTGTGCCTTCCCCTTCCCTGGTTTTCTCTGCCTGCTGCCTATGGCTTCTTATTCCCCATTTTACTTGCTCCGCCTGCCCCCGGAGAGAGGACAAGGGGGCTTTTCCCCCAGCCAGGGTGGGCTTTTGGGAATGGGGACTCTCCTTGTCCTCTCCCTGCTCCCAGCCTGGCTCATCCCGGTGTCTGGTGACTGTGGGTGAGCTCAGGGAGGATGCTGGGATTCAGCTCCAAACCCAAACACACCCCCTGCTACGGAGCTGATGGAGCTCCAGACCCCAAAAAGTTTAAAATTGGGGTTTTTTGGCATTTTGTGGGGTTTTTTTTCCCTGCAGGGGACTCGGAGGAGGAGGACACGGGGTTCCTGGAGGTCACGGTCTCGGACATGAAGCACCCGCCGCCGGAGCTGGGCCCCATGCCCGAGGGGCTGAGCCCACAGCAGGTGGGGTGGGATGGGATGGGGGATTTGGGGGGAATTGGCTCCCCCTGGTCCCGTGACTGAGGAACCAGGGACAGGGCGAGGCAGCATCAAGTGATGCTGTGTCAGCACTTCTGCCCCGGCCGGGCCTGCACCTCCCCCATCCCGGGGTTTGGGGTGGGGGGATCATGGCTGAGCCCCTCATCCCAGTGTTTGGGCTTTGGGACCATCCCAGTGTTTGGGACCATGGCTGAGCCCTCCCCCATCCTGGTATTTGGGTTTGGGACCATCCCAGTGTTTGGGGTTTGGGACCATGGCTGAGCCCCCCACCCCAGTATTTGGATTTGGGACCATCCCAATATTTGGGGTTTGGGACCATGGCTGACCCCCCAACCCCATTATTGGGATTTGGGACCATCCCACCATTTGGGGTTTGGGACCATGACTGAGCCCCCCATCCAGGTATTTGGGGTTTGGGACCATGGCTGAGCT